ATTTTTAAAAGGAAAGGGAATTTTTTAATTTTTTCAGGAAAGTTCAAGATTTTATGTTTGTTAACTCCCCAGTTAGGTACATTTGAAGTAGTAAAAAAAAACTTGAGGGAAAAAGAGTCACAAGAACGAGACATAATAAAGATAACATCAAAATAATGATTTTCTTTTTATAGGCTACTAGCAGGATAATGATAACAGTTTAGGTTTAGTTCTTGTCCTTAATTACGTCTGACCGAGCGCATAACAATTGTTTGAGCATAGGATTAGGGTTACTCTAAATCAGGAAAAGGAAAAGGGAGCCTATTTTTCCTAAAAATGATTATACAAAATAATGATTATATAATTCCAAATGAATAGCACTTCATTTTGTTATGTTTTAAGGGATTTAACCGTTTTAACCAACTTTTGAGTTATCCGACCTAGGTTCGGAGCCATTAGGGTCGGTTAAGAGAGGGTCTACTGTAAATAGCTCTTCAAATAACTGTTTGTGTTTTTGTGTAGTAATTATTATTTGAAATCATAAAATGCCATAACTTATGATATTACACACCATAATATAATTAGGTACTTATAAAAATAATGTTAAGTTGTTATGTACATATCAGTTATGTTGTAATAAGACTTTAAAACTTAGTTTGTATCAATTATAGTTTAATAGTATTGTTACAAATATTTATGAGTTTAGTTGAAATTGTTAAAATTATAGCTATACAAATACATGTTATTATAACAATACCTTGTAATTGAACTACACCATCAATTTATGACTGATTTGTAAATTATTGATTGATGAAAAAAATAGCATGTCATTGGGAGTAAACAAACGACAATATTTTATGGAGGGCAGGTCAATCAAGCCTCTTTTTATTGAACATTTCCGAGTCAACATATTACAAAGCTTGAAACAAAATTTTTTTGCCATATTACAGGAACTGTAACTGTTTTTAAAATACGATTTTCAGGGATAAATAAGTCGTAAAAAGCTGTTCATTCCCCCTTTACAAACTTTGTCTGCAGATATTAGAGAAGAAAATAGTTCTGATCAAAAATATGGTTATAATCATGCATATTATGCTAAATTGCACATTTCCTTATATGGGGGCTGACCAGGATTTGCTTTTTAAATATTGTAAATATTATATTATAATAAATACCCCTCTACTGATATTTGGACTAATTAATTAAAATATAAAAATTCAAACGATCAAAGCAGGCCAAGTAGTTAATACATCATCAGTAACACCTGTTTGTTTTGACAGTGAATCGATACTGAATTAGTTTTGGTGTAACTAACTAATAAAGATAAATAACATATAGCATTAACGAATTTCCAATATAGGGAATAAGCTTTTTATTACCGTAGGTCTCACGGTAAGAACTGGACCCGGGAACAATTAACTTTTTCATTTTGAGGTGCGCAGAGGCCAAAAATCCCTCGGTTCAAAATCATATGTATGTCTGTTATCGCGATAACTTGAGCAAAAATTAAATTTTTACGGAATTTGGCACACAGGCGTGTAAAACTAAATGTATTCCAACAAGTTCGCGAACCAGCTTGATCTGACTATGGGAAAGGGGGTTTTATAGGGTAAAAATTTGTTTTTCCCATTTTTGACCCTAAAAACATAACATTTCATTTCCCAATTTCTTTCTAAACCATTTTATAGTGCTTGAAAAAGAAAAAATTGTACAGTCAAACCTTGTTAGAAAGAACCTCGGTAAATCTGATTTTTTTTCTCCATAGTACCTACGTAGTTTTCAAAACAAAACGAAACTTGTTTCAAAATGAAACCCCCACCCATCCCTCTTCCATCCTCTGTCATTGTTTGGCACGTGCCTCTACAAGATGAATAACGGCAGTATTAAACCTGTTGTAGTTTGCTTGTTTGTGGATATATTTTAATGGAATTTTGTATATTTCATACTAAGCTATCGACATTTCATTAATGAATACACCTCATTACCTTTCCTGTAGTAGCAAACCTAAGTACTCGTTAAAATAATGTTATTTAAATCCTACTAATATTATAAGTTGTGAGAAAGTTTGGATGTATGGATGGATGTTTGTGACAAGTAAACGTGCAAAATACTGGTCTGATTGGGCTGAAATTTGGTGTGATGATAGCTCACATTCCCAGTGATTAACATATAGATGCATTCTTATCTCAAAAATCCTTTTGGGCTCCACCCCAGTGGCTCTGGAGTTTCTCATGTTAACTTTTTATTCATATTTAAAAGGAATAAAATAATTTTGTCAGCTGTTTCAACTACACAAGTTGGTTCTATGATATTAAATAACATTAAAAAGTTATAAGGTTTACCAACAAGGGTGCAACACTATTAAATTAAAATTTAAGTTTTTTTTTATTGTTTAGGTGCTATGGTAGAACATTAAGGCTATGGTAGATGTGCTATACTATATCATACCGTAAATTAAAAGAACCAAATTTTCTTAAATCGTGTCCTCTCCCATTGCAAACACAAGTATAACTGCAATAAGCATTTTATTTATATACGCCAACCCCATACGAAGGACGGGTACTCTGCTAGTAGGAAATAAATCTGACAATGTTAAGGGAATATTTTAGTGGAAATTCTAACAGTTATAACAAATTCAATTAGTTCAATTACAAGTTAAATATTTATCTTTAAATTTATCATTTACATCTGTGCTTTAAGCGTCATTAGGTTCACTTTTTAAGCTCAAGAATTTGTTTAAGTGTCCATGTTTAAATGTATAGTATTTTAGTTTCTAGAAAATTGTAAATATATACAGCTGTATTATTTTATTATTACATGGTTATTAAACTATTACTTTTGTACAACAAACCCTTAATTAAAATCCCATTCATAAATCTGTTTATATTTTAATGTTATTTTGATACTTTTATAGGGTATTTTTGAATAGGGATTTAACTACCGTAGTTAAAACTACCCACAAAGTCATCATGAATAAGCCACAGAACGTTTTTTAGCCTCATGAGACCCACAATATTGTAATTAATTAAAATATCAGTTGCCATTTCTTCATTGTACTCCCAACTCATATTATTAATATAATCAACATTGCCAATATTCTAATATAGCCATCATAATTTTTGTTCAAAATATATGTGGTTTTAAAATATTAAAACGTGTACAGTAGGTCCATCAATAGTTAAACTTATATGGTGCAATATGTAGGTTTGTTGGAAGCTTTCCATTAAAGAAAATATGAAAATTGGACAATATCATTTTGAAAATTGCCACTGCCAAACTCTATAACCGGGAGAAGAATGAAATTAAACATGTATAATAAAAACTTTGAACTGTTTCAGCATAAGAAAAGGGTCAATTGAGGAAATGATAACTAGCTGAAATGAAGCAATCCTATTACGTTTTGCAAACTTAATTGGTAAAAAGCAAATCAAGTTTTAATTAGAGTTAACAAATCAAGTAATTTAGTTTTTGGTGAGATGATATCCCCTTAAAATTGATACGTAGAAGAGTTCATTTTACGTTTGTGTGTTTTAAGAAATTAAGTTTATGTTCAGATTAAAAGTAAGTAGGCGAACGAGGATTGATGAAGAAAATAGCTAATGTGTGATAACAAAGAAATGAAAAATATACAGTAAAAGCTCCAGATTTTTACTTTCTCCCACAAAAAAAAATTGTATGAAAAAGTATTAAAAAAGATTTTTTTTAGTTTAGGGTGAAAATATTTGTTTTGAGTTCAGGGGAGCCCATAAAAGTGGGGTTTGAAGTGAAATATGTGTGCATATGTATATGTGTACATATAGCTACAGAATACACCAATTTTGATGATAGTTGGTATGACGATACCAACCCAAAGAACTCATGGAATCTCCAGGCAATTATTTTTGGATTTTTGTAAATTTTTATTTTTAGTGGAGATAATCCAGCAGCCTTTTGTAATGCATTTTACCTAGCATGAAAAGGGGTAGTAGGTTTATTTTTTTGTGTGTTGTATGGGATAGTACCAAGATGCTAAATCAAAATTTTCGACCTCGGCAGCCTTCCGGATTACCCCCAAAAAGCTTAGAAATCCGTGGAATTTCGCACCTTTTTTACATTTGTCCAATTTTGACCCTGAAGCATAACTTTTTCATAGAAAACAACTATTATCATTTTAAAAGTACATTAAATAATTTAATAATTTAAGACCAAAATGGTGATTATAGACCAAACAGTTTGAGAGATATGGCTCTTCAAAGTAGTTCATAAAACCTTCCATCATTGCTTGTATTTCAAGTTTCAAGCTATACAATTAGGTCAAATCTTATAAAAGAACCATAATAAGAATATAAACAAATTTATTTCATTTCAACAACAGATTGTATGTTTTGCTAACAAATAACAAATAAAGTTTTTAAAAAGTAATTAAACATGTGGTGGTAATAAAAATGTCCACACTACCTATCAAAAGAAGTTTGAATATAGAACTTGAAAAAAATATTTAATCAGAATGAGCATACCAAATTTCTACCCGTCAACCTTTTACCAAGGCAAATTTGAACCAAGCATGGTTTGCATTTAACCATTGCTGATTTGGCAAACAAGAGTTTTCTCTTTGTCCCTGAATAAACTTAGCAGCATGGATTTTGCACAAGTCATTTATTTTTTTTAGAGCTGTAAAAAAATTACAAAAGTTTTACAACTCTCGCCAAAAAACAAGAATAAATACAGTATTTCACAAAGAGCCGGCTGTTCATGGATATTGACAATTAAGAAGCTCCCGTCTCCGTTTTATTTTAGAAAGAACTGCTGACATTTGTGAAAGTGTTTGTTGACTTTAAGCAACTCAACAATCTTATACACTCTAATTCTCTCTATCATTATACACTTGTATAATTTCTATATGTAGTATCATCATGTCAAGAATATTGTCCCCACAGAGTAATTTTTTATTATTATTTGTGTTTTCTAAACATGATAAGGCTTATCTTTCTTTTGATTTTACACAAAAAGGAACTAGGAACTGAACAAAATAAAAGTACTGTAAAAGCATTTTATTGCCAAAATATAGTGTTTTGTACAAAAGTGATATAAAAATACATGAAACATTGAGTATAAAAAACATACAACGGTTTGTTTGAGACAAATAAGTACATGAATTAGCATTACAAATACAGCAACAACAATTGTAAACGTATTATTGAACGTACAAACACTTTTTTGTATCTAATTTATGATCAGTAGGATGAAAATATATCTGGCTTATATGGAGTAGGCATTTTTATATATGTCCATAAACTCATTGAAGTAAGTACTCCATAAGTGACTCATTGACATTCACTTAAGCTGGCTCCAGACATGCCCCATTCTCGAAGCATGAAATATTTTACATTCGGTGATCTAGTTGTCTTACTAATTCGCCAATTAACAAGTAGACGTCTTCACACATGTGTTGTTTTCCGAGCAACTGTTCATATTGGGAATAGCATAAATATTCGTTCACTTTGATGTGTGCAATGAACAGGAAAACACAAGCATGAATGTTTGCTGCTTGCCAAATAGACAAACACCTATTCACTACTCGCGATTCGGCGAGTCGCTGTTTGGTGCTTGGCGAATGGCGCATGTCTAAAGTGGGCTTAACACTTCGGTCTGTGATGTCTTGAAAACTAAAATAAGAAAATTACACTAACAATAAGATGTATCATGCATGTATTTCGTAATAAAATATGTATCATGCATGTATTTCATTCTCTATACAACAATTAACATTATATAGCACAGAAAACTATTTAACTTTAGTTTAAGTCCAAATACTCGAAATATATTAAACCCCAATCGCAGCACACCAGTGCATTCAACAACGTTTAAATTCTCCACTATTAAATATGTAATCATATAAAGTAAAAACCTTTATCAAAGTATTATATAAACAATAAAAGGGATGGCAATGCCTTAATATTTTTTCTTTTTTTTCTGTATCCACTCAATCTAAGATAAATTATTAAGTGAATAATAATTGTGCGTGATATTTCAGGTATTCAAATGCCTCCCATATTTGTCATTAACCCACCAGATTACTGTCGTTAAAAGAAGGAATTCCAATAATACTAATGCGAAACTTAAATCCACCCAAGCCGTGCAACGGAACTAGACTGACGGTTAAAAAAATGACACCAAACTTGATCAAAGCAACAATCATCAGTGGTAAGTTTAAAGGAGAATTAGTCTTAATGTCAAAAATACCAATGATTTCATTCGAATTACCCTTTGAATTCAAGTGACTACAATTTCCAGGCCCGGTCTGGCCAGGGCGGCTGGTCGGCGATCCCCGAGGGCCTCCAGGGCTCAAGGGGGCCTCCAAAAGCCAAAAAATCAATTAAAAAAATTTAGTTATAATAAAAAAAATATTTTGTTTAACCGTTTCACAGCGACGTAGTCTTTCAAAAACAATTTTTAATAAACAATACTCTTTTTTTAATTGAATTACAGTTAGGGGTAGCCCCTAAGTACAGTGATAGTCACTCGGTACTAGAGGATAGTCACCGATCTCACTGCAACGCACCGTTCGAATCAGCTCAGCGCCCAGCACTCCGCGGTAGTGACGAGACATTGCCGTGCCGGCGCGTCTGCGATATGTCTGGTGTCTGAACTCAAGCAGATAGCTTAGGCTTGTCGCACACTGCGGCAGACCAGCTCAGGCAGATCAGGTCAGACCGCTCAGGTCCGGCAGTTTTCCCACACACTACGTCCGGTCAGTCCGCTCAGCTCAGGCGTTTTTTGAGCGCCAACCTCAGTCAGTAGTCGACAGACAGCGGCATTGTCTGCATGTATGCTTTGTGTCTTCTTGTTCAGTGCGATGCGATTGTGCGATGGGTTCTAGTAGTAGTGATGAAGAAACTGCTATAGTAGCATTAGAACTTGCTGCGGAAGAGGACGAGAAGGCCCAAAAAACCAGGAGAAAAAGGAGGAAATTTTGGGTGCACAGTATTAATGTCGCACGGGATAGTGAGGGAGAGTATCATACTCTTTTCCAAAGATTAAAAAACGACAACGTAAGATTGCACGAGCTATTGCACAACACTGGTTCACTGGCCGCGGGCCGGCGTCTCGCTCCGGCAGCTCCGGCAAAAATCGCTCGCTGACCGAAAAGTGCCGGAGACGGTCTGACCGGACTGAACTGAGCGGTCTGACCTGTCGTAGTGTGCGGCTCTACATTTGAATACATGGCTTCCGAATTTTGCCGGAACGGTCTGACCTGATCTGCCTGAGCTGGTCTGCCTGAGCTGGTCTGCCGTAGTGTGCGACAAGCCTTAGCGCTTGTACTAGTATAGTGACAACCGACTTGAAAAAACCGACTAGTCAATTTGGCAATCGGTTGTTTTTAAAACCAGTGGTTTTTTTTCAGTCAAATGAAAAACCGAAAGAATTCCACTACAACAACAACTGGTGGCATTCAATCGGTGCAGTGGTTTCAGTCATTGTAAAGAAAATTATCGAATATAATTTTACTTTAAACATTGGAGTTTTCCCGCTTGATTCCTATTGTTTATTGTCATTTGCATTAATATTTTGTTACTTTGGTATAAAACGTAATAGAATGACAACATTTACAATTAATTAAAAAATTTTAGTTTATTACATGACTGCAAGATTTAAATTATTCAGTAGGCCTAATGTCTCTAACTCAGTATAACAAATATTCCTATTTATTTGTTACCTGGTTTTTAAAACAGATTTTACTACAGGCATTAAAATCTAAATCATCAGTATATAAAACACAGGGTCTTGGCAATTTTATATTTTTTTTAAACAACAAAAATAAATGCAATTACATTTTATGTATCATCCCTAAAAACTGTTCCCAATTCCTATCCGTCAGTTTATCTACAACTGATTCTATTCGACCAGTCAGCCTCAACTCAACACCAAAAGGTCGAGTATGGTGTTACGACTAGTTTAATCACCGACGACTGTTTCCAGTCATTCCTACGTAGTGGGTTTCCTTAGTCAATGGTTATGACGTATTGTTTGAAAGATTACTAACACGTGAATCGTTCAGTTTATAAAATGAAATGTGTGCACCCAAGTGGCGCAAGTAAAATAAAAATGGAGATAGGAAATATTTCAAAATAAAAACAAATTAAAGTCAAACTGTTTGAACTTATGGTTAGCAGGTTAGCTGGTTTCAGTTCCGATTCTGCTAACAATGAGAAGTCGCAAACAGACAGGCGGAAATCATCAGAAATTTTTTGTAAGCCTTACAACGTTTAAATTAAAATACTTTTGATTATTTCTGTTTGTCTTTGTTGCTGAAGTACAACTATGGAGTAAAGTGTGTGATAAACAGTAAATGTGGTCCATTCATAGATGTATTCAAAATTCAAAAGTGGTACGTGATATGCTTTTTTACCATGTATGGCAAAAACTCCAAGAACTAGGTTTTGGTCTTATTTTTAAATTGAAGACTTAAAACAATTTTAAGAATAGGCCTTTAAATTTTATGGCTACTGTAGAGGTAAATAGAAATACGAGCAAATTTTATATCAAATTTAAATTGATTGATACCTTGGAATTAAATTTATAAATACAACGATTTTAATTTATGGAAATTTAGCAATTATTAATTTAATCAAAATTATCAAAAACTTTTAATCATTTAAAACCACATTAGGCCCCTTTTATGCACCTGCGGCATGCAGCCAACATATATGCTAGCTAATTGTTGCCGTGAGAGCACCCCATGGTCCTTGTTTTATTTCTGGCTGGGGGCCTCAAATCAACATCAAGCCGAGGGCCTCCAATGGAGCCAGACCGGGCCTGACAATTTCCTTTGCGTCTAGCTTTCGCAATCACCATTATAAGGCACAAGGTCAATCCCTGACTATTGCCGGTTTAAATTTACAAAATGCATACTTTTCACACAGACAGCTGTATGTTGTGCGCTCACGTGGTGGTAGGTACTCCTAAAAACTTATATTTTTATACACCTAGCCTAATGAAAAAACAAAAAAAAACATTGTTTATCCACTGGCAATTAAGAAAAATAAATATCTATTTTTGTAAAGATAGGCCTATCAAGTTTCCAATTTTAGGAGATTTGGGTCTGCTTCCAAAATATAAAACATTACAGTAACTTATATTAGTGATATGAAAGTTTAACAAATATACCGGTAACAGTAAATTCACTTTATAGGGAAGTATAGGTGAAATCATTAGGATTTTTTTTGCAAAATTTAAAGTCAAGTTTTATACATCCTAATAGGGTTTTTAAATTATTAAAATAAAAGAAATAAGTTAAATAAGTTGAGGATCACTAATTACAACAACAACTGATAATATTTAACTAGTGCACCTGTTGCTTGAATTCCAGCAATACAGGTGTTATTTCAAAATGAATAACAGTCATAAATTTCCGATAACTTAAAAGGGTAAACTCAAAGATAATGTAATCAATCACTCCACTCCAGTTATTGAAACTGAAAACGAACACTCTTTGTGTATCATGTGTTTACTATGAACAGCTGTAATTAATACAAATTATTCGTCTGTTTAAGTAAACAAAATCTTTTCTTCATAAGAAACACATTGGTATTTTGACGGCCCGTGGCGCAAAGCCCGAGGACGTTTATTACAGGAATTGGTGAAAGGGGGTGCCTACACAATAAATACTTAATTTTGACACATCGTTTGTAAAAATCCGTCCATTATTAACGGAGGAGTAGTGTTTCGTAGAAATCACCTTCCTATATATAAGGATAGGCCTACTAATCATACTTTATACTAATATTATAAATGTGAAAGTTTGTGTGTTAGTTTATTGTTTGTTTGAAGTTCAATCACGCATTATCTACTGGTTGGATTGGGCTAAATATTTGGTATTATGATAGTTCATATTCCCAAGGTTTACCAACAGGGTGCAGCACTATTAATTTTTGAGCTTTTTTGACAAGCGTTCAACAGTGATACAGTACAGTACTTCGATACTTGGTGTGTGTTTGAAAATGATAAATGGAATACCACGCAACAATAGACTAGCCTATAGACAATACCGGTACAAATTATTAAAAATATATTGAATGGACAGAGAGAGTGTATATACTGCAGAGCATTAAAATGGAAAGATGAGCCTGCTGGAAGGTGTTATTCTGGTGGAAAAGTTTTACCTTTATTATAAGAGCCGATACAGCTATGAAAGAACCATACTTGGAGAAGCTGAAGAGTCAGGGCATTTTCAGTTTCAAGATGTTGTAAGATTTTTTAGTTGGAGATTAAACAAATGGTTTATTGTGTAGAGAGGAGATTCAAAATGTTTAGGCCTATTTGTTTAACAAATTTTTAAACGGTGCGTGACACAATGAATACGGTAATGATAATATCTTTTTTTGTGATATTTGGCGAAACCACTACAGATAAGCATTGGAATGATTGTAATAGGGCCTACTCTGTTTATTTCCTATGCTGTATAATATTTATGGTAATACCATTGCAGGCGAAGCGGCGGGTAAAAGCTAGAAGGCTATATTGTAAAGGTAGTTGGAAATAATTGAGTGTTTAAAAAAAAGTGCACAAGCCCTATGAAATGGAATGAAAACAAACTTATTACTACCGTATGACTATAAATATTGCAGGGTGGTACAGTAGAGTCCCGCAAACTCGGCGTAATGTGGACTGGAAGGGTGACGGGTTATCGGGAACTAGGGTTAAAAATAAGAAAAATTCAGTTTTTAAGCTTTTTAACCGCCTTTTTTATTTATATTTATATTAGAAGTCAGAATTAAGTCATCAGATATAGTACAACAAATCCTTAGTACCAGTTGCGAATAATTTGAATTAAGGTGGCTTGAGTCCATGATTAACTTGGACTCAAGAAATCACTAATTTTCTGAGCCAGGTGATGGCCGAGTTATCCAGAATGCCGGGTTATCGAGTGCCGAGTTTGCGGGACTCTACTGTATTAACAAATTGTCATAGCCTACATTATTTTCCCTTAAGATTTACAAAATCAAACAAATTACTCACAGTTTACCAACTTCCAGAGCTTCCACAACTTTCTGACATATCGATTTTGAAGATTGGATACAATTGTCAAATTTTGAACCTGCAAATGCATCTCCTCCTATGACCAATGGGGCGGAAGAAGATACCAACACACAACCAGGAGCGTCTGGATAAGTATTTGTCACTTGCGAGTATCTCCACTTGTGACACTTGACTGCTTTAGGCTCAGGCCAGTTGGGAAATAGAACTTTTGCCTGAGAAACCAACACTTTTTCCATATCTGGAATTGAGTCTTCAATGTGTTTTGCTCCAAAGCTGACCGTAGAATGTAAAACTACAGCACAGAGATTTTCTGGCTGATTTCTCCTTATGTTGTCTATGGAAACGTATCTAAATATGGGATTGTTATCGATGTATTGTGCACCCCAGTTTTCATTGATATTTTCCAGGTAAAATAGAACCAACACATATCTAGCGCTATAGGTAACTGTGTTCAAGGGTTCTGCAAGACTTTGAATGCTTCTTTTAACTGACCCTTCGAGTAGAAACAGTTGTGGTACTGGCATAGTTAAGACAACGACATCAAAGTAATCCTTTTCACCTGTTTTTGTTTCAACTATCCACCTTCCATCTTCAAGATCTATTGATGAGACATGGTGAGAAAATTTTGTTTCATTTATCTTAGCTTGTTGTAGTATGTTCTTTACAAGAAAACTTGTGCCATTAGGAACAACAAAGTTTTTTGTGTTGTCTTGATGCCTCATTCCAATAACGTGGCATTTAAGTGGTTCCAATATTCCCTCAGATATTAAATGGTTGTATACATCTCCATTTGCTTTCATGTACTCTTCTGTTGTTGTGATGTACTGGGCGCCTAAATCAGCTGTACAGCTCGGGTTTAAAGAGCATCGAGTTGTGGCCATCCTGCCTCCCGCACCTCTTGCCTTGTCCCACAGGCTGATATTACAATCCGGCAATAATTTTCTAAGACACATTCCAGTTAAAGCACTTGTAATTCCACCTCCAACAAGTAGAATTTTCATTTTTACTTAATCTGGTTTTTGAAAAGTGACGTGTTTAAGTACTTAAATGTAGGCCTAGATACTGCTTTAACTAAGGCCTATGAAGACATCATGAGAATTTGTGCAGTTCAAAGAAAAAGCTTCAATATTTTCTTAAAATTTCAACCTAGGAAATCTATACATCTGCTTTACAATATTATGATCGCATAAAATGATAAATCTACCGATCATTGGCTAGACTAACCTCAAAGAGCAGGTGACGACAGAGATTTTTCAACTTGATTTCCAATTTAAATTATAACTGTTATTGAGTAGGTACTAAGGAATGAGAACATTCCTCCAATGCAAAATCCACAAAAAAAAGACAAACTGAAAATTTGTTTATGAAATGGGTTCACTAATGGAATGAAATTAGGAGTATCTTTACGTTGTTATTGTTGCTGTTGAGTATGACGTGATGGTGTTCTAGTTCTGCTTCTGTTGGTTCTGTTTTATTTTGATACCGTTGACGGACGACACGACGTTGACATTTGACACAGCTGATTAATGCACAAACAGCTGATGGCCATTCCAAAGAGTATTGATAACATTGCACTCTTTCACTCTTTGCAGTATACGATGTGGGGACAGCTCACTTACTCTACAGATCATAGACTATACGAGCTTTTTAAATAATATTGAAGGTTCACTTGCACTACAGGCTCGTATACTATACGAGCCTATCGAAAATAAAAAGTAAATGAAGAGGGTTCACTTACTCTACAAATCATTGTGCCTATGAGCCTCGTGTATTATATTTAAAAATACAGTAGGAAGGTTCGCTTACTCTACAGATCATAGTGACTATGAGCCAAGCTTACGAATTATTTGATAATTCAGGAATCGGCTCGTATAGTATACGAGCCAAAATAATGAATAATATAAATTATAGGAATAGGCTCGTATACTATACGAGCCTGCAGAAAAATATTAGATGGCTCACTTACACTACAGATCATTGGCACAATGATCCGTAGAGTAAGTGAACCCTCTTCAAAATATTAGATGGCTCACTTACTCTACGGCTCATTTAGCTACTCGTTGCGCGGTTTGCGTTCGTGAAACTCTAGGCGCTATGCCCGGCTTCGAATGGCTGAAATATTTAAGCTTTGGTTTTTTTTAAACATATGTTCACGAAGTTTACAAAATTATTTTACTTTGATTACATTTCTTCACATTAGTAGGTTATTGTTGTGCTGAAGGAATGTTTAACATGAAATAGCCCCATTGACTAAATAATCAACGATGCAAGATTAGTTAGAAAACTTCTGTTTTGTTTTTATTTCAAAACATATATTGACAATTTATTCAAAACTTTTGTTTTAAATTTCATAACATTTAATTTGACACGTAATTGTAGTGTTTAATCTATACTTTGTATCGAGTGGAATAACCTTAACAGTTACTCTAGAGAATAACCTGGGAATAAAATTTGAAATAGGTTTGTACAGGCAATACATATATTCCTTTCATTAATTACTATAACAAATTCCAATGGGCGGAAAAATAAAATTGTTTGGAGTAGATTTTAACCAGGTATCTACTGTCTGTTGCTCCAAGGAAAAAAGGTTAAAATAATATAGCCCAACATGCATTGTATATATATATACAATCTATATAGATAGTGAAGAGAGAATCTATAACAGTAAACCCTGGAGGTAGTTTTCGATTCTTCATGTTTCACTAACCAAAAATATGTACCTATATTAATTGCTGATGAATTTGTTTTCTTGATTGGTTTCATTAACATGATAATGGAACCCTAACCAATGGCAAAAGAGTTAGTAATCAGTCGATGATTAGCTTTTTTAACTGTAGGCTAAATAAATAATATAAACGGTAAAATGTTTTCAAACAAAATTTACATCCATTGAATGAAAAATAATATACTATTAACATGACTATAGCTGATATGGCTTAGCTGTCGGCTATCTGTACATTGCGTCATAACAGCAGACAGCGCTATGTTATTAACTTAAAAATTATAACGGATTAGCAAATAAATACTTTACTATGGTCTTAACAAACTATGAACCCACTGAACGTTTAAATTGGCCAATTTTAAAGAGAGTATAAAGTCAACCACAGCTTTAGGAGGAATCCCACCACATAAGCTGACACAGAGAGTAGTTTATATTTTATGTTGATCAGAAACGAAACTAGGGCAGCCTTTACACTAATTCAGTTGTGTCTTTACAAAAGGAGTAGAGCTATAATATTAGAAATAATAACTGGGCCAGGGTACTAATATGAGTACATGTATTATTGTAGCACTGTATCGATTCTGACACATAGATAATGTTATTCTTAGTTTGTTTAAATATTACAATAGTTTGTTTTACATTTGAGCTTTTTAGGGACTTATGTCCCTACAAGCCACTAGTTGATCAATATAAAGCCCAAAGTACACATGAACTTTTGTGAAAACTACAAGTCATACCCCCATAAACCATATACTTAAAATGTTCGTCATGACGAGAAAACTAGCGCAAAACTATCCATTATTTCATAAACTGCCCTTAAAGGTCGTAATTGCTTTCCAAGGAAACATAGGAAAGTCATAGAACGCCACCAAGTAGCAGAAATCGAGATTTTTTAAAAATATTATCGTTATCATCCTATATAAAAGAAGAACACCTACAATATGAAGATTCCCACAAACAATGAACAAGGATGTTATCGAAAGTGCTACTATTTTGTAGGAAAAACGGACTTAACTTTAGGATGATTTGCAAAGGAAACCCTCTAATGCCGAATTAAACCGGTACGGCAAGGACATTATATATGTTTTCATAAAAGTCAAGTGATATTAAAATAACATGACTACATCCAAGAAACCTTAACAAAACTTGCATTGAAGGATTCGCATTATTCACATTCAAGGGAAACAAAAACCCATCTGAACAACATTAGGGCCTTACAATTCTGCATATTTTCAGGTAAATATAACTTACGTTATAACAGTAACTAGCCAAATTAATGCCAATATATCTATCAAATATTACAATATGTATAATTTTACACTAATTTTTAATGAAACAGTATGTATTTCTTGTAATTTCAAGCAATACATAATGGTAATTTGTAGGAAATTTTATTCTCTTTCAGAATATCACGCTCCACTTTGGTCGATTTCCTCGCCATTTCAAAGTTATTTGCAATAACGTTAAGCAACCTCCAAATGTATAGTAGTGAGAAAATACTGAATTAAAGATGTTGTTTATAAGCTTTGTACAATTAAATCTACAGTTCTACTGAACCGATTTTATTAATTAATAGGTCATTGGATAGCATAATTTGTGAATACTGTATTTGCAAATAATTATGAAAGTACTGTTGAGGTTGCAAGCAAGATCGTTTGGATATAAATCGATGATAAAGAACTCAATTTTTTGAACAATTTGTGTTGGTCGTGATTTAGCTGTGTGCTTTAATGAAATGGGAGTGGTATTTCAATGAAGGTTCTTAGGTCAAAACAAATAGAATAACGTAGTTAGAATTAAGTAAATATATTTAAAACTAAATTCCATATCCAAGATATAATACAAGTTTATACTTTATGATTGAGCGATACAGTATCTTGAACTTAACTGATGAAAACTATCAATATCTCAAGTTAAAGCTTTTGAAGTATTTTAAGACCAAGACATATAAAATAACTTAAATAAATATAGAGTTACGTATCATTCATTGCAGATAGGTAATTATCGTTGATTCGTGATTCAGCAGTGTGCTTTAGGTTGTCCGATCTCAATAAACAATAGCTCAAATAAATCTGCGGTACGTCCTTAGTTGGCCAAAATTATGAAAATCGGTCGGGTAGAAGAGCTAACCCGACTCGGAAAAGAAAAACCAACTATTTTTATAGATGGTAATAATTGGTTTACCAGTATGTATAATCTAATCATACGAAACATCTTATCTTACTAATATTATAAATGTGAAAGTTTGTGTGTTTGTTTGTTCGTTTGAAGTTCGATCACGCTTAAACCACTGGACGGATTGGGCTGAAATTTGGCATGATGATAGCTTACATTCCCGATTAACATATAGGCATATTCTTATCTCAAAATTCTTTCGGGCTCCGCCCCAGTGGCTCTGTGATTCGCCATGTTTACCTTATGAGTATTCATATTTAAAGGGAATTAAAGAATTTAGTCAGCTGTTTCAACTAAAAAAGTTGGTTCTATGATACGGAAAAGCATTCAAAAGTTATAAGATTTACCAACAGGGTGCAGCATTTTTTTCTTTGCATTTATGAAAACAGCTAATTTTAACTAAGCAGCAAAAAAACTGTGATTCGCAATGATAACTGTCAAAGTAGGATCGTTTACAGTTATGTTTATGTTTTTCATTTCATGAATAATTTGTGATATTTTGCGAATTGTTGATAATTTATTTTTCTCTATTGTTTAGGTGAAGTGGTAGAACATTATGGCTATGGTAGATGTGTAATACTATAGAATACTGTAAATTTAAAAAAGCAAATTTTATCAAACTGTGTCCTCCCTTATTGCAAACGCAAAGCTTGAGTATAACTGCAATAAGCATTTTATACTTATATTCCAACCCCGTACGAAGGACGGGTACTCTGCTAGTGTGTTAACAACAGCTTATTGTTATCTAATTAATTTTTCTTTATAAATGTTGTTGTTAACAATTTGCATTTGTAATTAAAGTGTGTTCATTAGGTTTAGTATGTGATTCTAATGTTATGTGCTTAAACTGTACCATTAATATTAGTGAGTAAAGTGGTGTATGGATTTCATAACCATTATTTTACTAGAGACCGTTGTGTTTAACCACAACGGGTACTGTTGCTAGTTAGTATATAAATGAGTTCTTTACTCTTTATTTGTAATATAAATTACATCATTATATTATGTAATGACATTTTTAAGAGGGTTGACCCAATTCCAACTGTAAATTGTATGTGTTGTTTAAATAACTGGGGTTCTGTCATTAACTTGTACAAAACTACAGGGTCTATATTTAAACAACTTAATAATCACTTCTACATCACAAACACAACACACAACATTGGATTGAGAACAGACTGTTGCTAGTAGATCTATAAAGCAATTCCTTTGCTTCCTTCATTAGATATAAAATATGGACTAACAAGATTGGGCAACATTTAATTGCGAAGCATTCGTTTCGGCTTGAAACTGTCAGATATTGTATTTGCGAAGGTTATTATGTATTCCTATACAGTAATAGTTTTTCCAGTATATCTGGAAAAGTGCACACTAAATATGGAAACCAACTCCTGTTCTGAATTTAAGAAATTTCTACTTACTCACAAGATTCCCGTACGTAGAACGGGCACCTGCTAGTAGTTAAATATACTTACTTTAATAAAACCACTCGGTCATTATAGAATATCTACTGTGAAATAGGGATGTGATTCCTAATTCCAAAT